TTTTTCTTTTATTGATACTGCCAATGTGACTACCTTTACGCAGGCAAATTGCTTTCCTACATTAAACACTTTGTTATTAATTTGGAAGTAACATTTTGCCCTCTGTATCTCCTAAGCTTATTCAATTAGCACACAGTTATACTTTTAAGAAGTTTCCACCTTTTCTCTTTAACATTCCCCACTGCCCCAGATCTGTGTAAAGGTTACCTGGCAAGAACACATGCATATGACATTAAATGGAGACCAATCCACCACTAAAAGGTAATGCAAATAAAACATAATACAGTACTTTGACATCATTTCAAATAAATACCCACAGACAAATGTAGTAATTTTAAATGCAACAATATTTCTTATGAACCAATACTGTAACAGAAGATGGAAAGATAAGTCCCCACATCTAGGAATAATAATGCTTTTTTCCAGCAAACAGAAATCTTTTCCCTACTGTCAATATTATTTCATTTTGTACTTTTTTGAGGAGTGGGAAGGCTCCCCCCCAACAAGTACCAATTTAATCATTCACGTGAGCCTCAACAAACAGCAGAGAGATCAGTACAGCTTGTTGATGCGCTTCTCCGTTTCTGTTTCCTGAAATTACAATGATTAGATACAACATGCAAGAGAAGATACCAACGTTTTGTTGTTCACATTTGCAAACAATACTATGGTTAACTGCATCCACCACCATACAAAGCTAACAGAGCATCAATATTCCCAATAACGTTCTCAGTACTGTTACCACAAATGTGTTAATACATCTTGCTCATTTGTTAACATGAGTCCATTTGGTTCCCAAAGTATATTCGGGTTTGTTTAGGCTTCTTCTTCTTCTTTTTTTTTTTTGTTTTGTTTTGTTTTGGTTTTTTTTGTTTGTTTGTTTGTTTTTTTTTTTCTCTCTACAACCCTGAATTTGCAAGGATTTGCATGATGAAATATCATTGACTAACAGAATTTTTTACAATTCCTTGAATATATAATCTCTATAGTAAGACTACCCATCAAAAATGTGCGAAAGGGGAGTTCACTTTGCACTTATTGCTCCACGTCTTTAATAAATTCCAAAACAGCCATTTCATTTCTTCTAAGTTACAGGACTTAGGCTAAGCTATTCTAAGAGTCTCCCTTAAAATTATTAAAGGCACTACTGGCAATAATTAATGACAGAACGGTGCTGATATATAACACCCTATCATTGACAACTTTAGAATTTTTCTTTCTAAATGTACCACAATTTGGCACAATAAAATGAAAAAGTAACAAAACAATTCCAATTTGGAATTTAACTGGTATAGTTGTATAAAATTCTGTTAATCAATAATACTTCAACTTTCTAAAACCCAGGAATTCTGGAATTTATAGGTTATACTACTTATTTAATATTTTTCAAGTGCCTATTACTGTTTTAACCAGAGCAAAGTCAAGTTTTCTTCTTGTTACATTGAACTATTCCTAAGAATAATAATACAATATGAAAAAAACCCCAGAATTTGAATACCCTGGATTTCTTAATGAACATGGCAGTTAAAAAAAAAAAATCAGTAATTTAAACATATAAAGCTTAACATTTTATAATAATAAAAAAGCTGCTGAAGCACAGCACACAGTTTAGCAGAGCTCCTGCTTTTTGTTGAAACTCTTTTCTAACCACAGTTTAGAGCCCCCAAAAAATCTCTGCCACATGCTGATGTAGAATTCAAAAATCACGAGCCCAAATTGGAGATACTATGAGCACAAACCACTGCATTTATATAAACTCTTCTACATAAGGAATTAAAGAAGCTAAAGAAAAATATCAAAAGTGCACAGGTTTAACAATCAGATTTAAAAAAAGAGCATCTGCAATGAAATGAGAAATTCCCTCATCCAAACATTTCTAGTAGATCATCAACTAATATGGTGATCATTACATTTGAAGTAGGTTCTTCAGCACTTGTAAGTTTTCTTACTGCGGCAGCACTTATAGGTAAAGCTCATTTGTTTTATAGCTTCAGACATAAAAGGGAAGTTTCAGGTAATATATAGGGAAAGGTGTTTTCAAAAGTTAGGATCAGGTCAGTGGTTTCCATTCTTTGTGCAATGGGCTACCACTTTTAACCACAATGAGAGAGGCTAAGAAATGCTGTTGCACTGTTGGAAAGGCCTTCTCCAGGGACTACTCTACGGCTGAAAAAGGGAAAAATAAAATAGCATTAGAAAAAAAAAAAACACAGTATTTATTTCTCAATTAAAGAACTGAAAACTTAACAGAATGTGCTGCAAAAGCAGGTTAGTTGGTCGAGCGTGTCTGTTAGCTTACTGGGGTAGAAGCAGCCATTTTAGCTTGCAGATGCCTTCTAAGCCCATGAAACAACGCTTTATGGGTTTAGCTTGGAAGCAATAGCTTTGCAGAAAGAAAGATTCTTACAAGTACTGAATAAAGCTTTGCTGTTCAAGCACAAATTAACAGCAATGAGTGTGCAATAAACATTTTCAGTGAAGCTTTAGGTTCTCCAGAAACATGCAGGTCAGTGTATCATGCAGGCCAATGCAGAGAATATCATTCAGAAGAGCCTGCTGGCAGAGGTAGGTGACGGCTTAAGAAATTTTCCATGCTTTATCCCAACCCATTGAAAGTGATATGAAAGACTTACAGCAAACGTACATTTCAAGAAATTGTTAATCAAGAATTACAAGACTCAATCTTAAATATTATCTAAAACCACAAACAGCAGGATCAAGTCACCTTTACCACCATTCCTCATTTCTTTTTACAACAGGTGCTATAGGAAGTTAAACCATAACCCTGACATGCTCACATAGCAGTCAGGTTGGCTTTTGTGTTTTTTAAAGGTGCACTGAAATAAATGAAGATGGAAATGACTAAGACTACTGGGCTAACAGAAACATCGTTTGTATTAGGAACTGAAAACATGGGCCAAGACTGATACTAATAGTCACTGTCTGGTAACACTGAAATCTTTGCAGGAAGTTCCAGTTAATTTGAAAAAAATGAACAATGCAGTCTAGTAGTTTCTCCAATTTACCTTTTCACTATTAGTATTTTGCAAAAACACCACTATTAGAGACATGGAACGAGTGAAAACTGCATTGAAGCTCCCTACCATAGTGGAAGCAAAACTGTAACTGTTTCTATTGGAGCAGAGAAAGTTAGTACTCAAATGCCTGCTTTTACAAAGTATTTTAAAATTATACTTAATGCAGGAATGAGAAGAATAAAGGCCTTTTGGAAGACTGTGCAGCAAAGAAGAGAAAAGCAGAATTGAAAATTGTTAAAAGATGTCTCGCTTCTAAAATATCAAACCTGCTATTTAGCAATATTAAAGCTCAAATTCAGGAGAATTCAGTGTTTTCTAAAAAAAAGTAATAATAGATGCACGGGGCCTAGATCCCAAAGCCAGAATTGCTATTTGTTTTAGCTTCTCAAGCAGTGATGTTTGAGCAACATATTCGACTTCAATCACTTGGAGTTTTCACTCCTCTCAATACTGGTAAATGCAATTCTGGCACTGGACTGTGGCATCCTGATGTTTCCCAGCTTTGTAGCGAGGTTTTTACAACTTCATTTGTTTAAAGTCTCATTGTATGAATTTAGAAGTCTTTTTTTTTTTTTTTTTTTTTTTCCTTCGCTCCCTCCCTGTAATACCTGGGAAGCCAAAATCCCATGTGGTTTCCCTTCACTGGGAAAACAAGCTGTGCTCCTTATTACCTTATATTAGCACTGTGATATCTCCTGACTACTTATAGGCAGAGCGGCAATGCACAGGAAGCAAGCTGCTGATCATCTATAAGAAATGGTAGTGAGATGAAGCAGTACCACATCAGGAATATTAGAATGGCTTTATCAAACATCACTATCAAGCAGACAACTGTGCAGTCTCGCATTGCTTTTAGTAATACTATAGGCATACAAAATTATTTGAAAGAGTACAAAATGAACAGGGCTTTACATTAAAATATAGTTTGAGGCTAGGCACTTTAAAACTCTGGTTTAAAGAAAAAAGTGTGCCTTGTTGTGCTCCACAAATTTTCCACAATTTTAGAAGCAACATTTTCAATCTTTTTCTCTTATATAGGCACCAATTATGAAGTACACTTTTATGTTATCAAACATATTGTAATGAAGTGGCTAAAAAGGCCCCTTAAAAGTTCAAGAGCAGACAAAAGTTTATGTGTTTCTAAAGATCAGCATACTAAGCTACTTCGTAAGTAATTATTAGCAGGATGATCTGGTTCAATTTCCTGTGCCTATAATGTAGAGCCCTGTGAAACATGTGCTTGCATAAGGAATGCAATATCTTTTGTGTATTTAAAAAAAATGATCAGAGCTCTGAAGAACTATCCTATTTAGATTAATACTGAAAGCTGAGAAAAACTGTTTTGTGACTGACAATACTACACCATAGTCACATTAATTCTACACATATACATTGTGTGGCTACAGTAATATATAAAACACATTCTTCCCAAAGTGTTATGCTTGCAAGGAGCAACATGAGACCACAAAGATCTTCAGGACACGACACTTTGCCACAGCACAACTTCTTAAAGTGGAACTGTCTACCAGGTAAGATCCCAATTCTTAAAATTTTAAGTTTTATATCAGATGGGGTAAATATTGCATATTTTTAATATAAATGTGCAAGTTTCTTCTGGTTAACCCTCTGAAAAGACGGAAGCAATGTGTAAATAATGTACCCTACCAAGCTTTTTTTCCTAGCTTTTATAGACTATAAAAGCTTTAGAACTTTGGTCAGTGGTGATATGACAGCAAGTTCTTAATATCTGCCACAATAGGCAAATCAAGTTTGGTTCCAGTTTCAAAATGCTCTGCATTTTCAAGACATACCTCTAAATTTAACATTTACTTTTCACCACTTCTTAAGCCACAATAACAAGGAAGGTTTTCTGTTTGTTTCTGCCTGCAAAAGCATTTATTGAAGAATGCTGCAACCCTGGAGAAAGGATCACATTTGTGCTATGCAAACTATGATTAGCAGCACCAGATATACTATTATATCGGGTGTACTCTTTTAACACTTACCATAAACAGCAAAACCCATACATGTTAATTGTGGACAAAGCTAATTCCTTTCCACTATTAACTTGTTAATAGCATCCCCATACTTAACAATTAGTTACAGTTAAGACCACCATAATACAATTTGTATTACCTGGTTCAACAACATACTAGTACAAGTCAACTCACTGCGACATTAGATAGTGGGGATTTACGCTGACAGTTACAGCATAAAATAAGATGTATAATATGATTTTTCTACACGCCTGTCCTAGTCACAATAGATTTTATATTTCTCACTACAAAAAACCTGGTTGTTAAGGACAGATCCTTCAGACCTGTCTCCGCAGGACCGAATATGACTTACACTAGGGTTACTGCTCTTGGCTTTGGAAGTGGATTTTGTGCGCACCCTTTTGGACTGCTCGTGGTCTAGCTCCAAATGTTCCAGGCGCTGAGTCAATGCCAGTTTCTGCTGGATAGCCATCCGAAGCAAGGAGTTCAGAGTCTTCTTCTCATCCTCAGCTGCTGCAAGCTGCCGCTGCATTTCATCCAGCTGTGTGACATATTCGTCACATCTGCAATGAAATACATCAATCTTTAGCAATCCTGTTTCCATCTATAAAACACGAATCCCTTGTGTCCAGCCGATATTAGCAGAATGATAGCTTTGCAGTTGCTTGCATACATGCTCTTGTAAATAGGAACTTCAACCAAACCTGTAGAAAATCACCACTACTTTTCACTGGGGTTCTGACAATCCCACACTTGCGTTCATGCCTTTCAAGACATAGTATATTAAAGAGCATCTTTAGCTAATGAAAGTATGGATCCTGATACCAAAGTACTCATGTCTAAAGATCAGTAAGATGTCCTTCCATAGTGAGTAGAACAATGCAGTCAAATTATATTTGTCCCTACTTGCAGAGATCACAAGGGTTCTAAGGTTTAGGCTGGAAAGGGAGTCTGAGGGGAACAGTAGGAGTGCTGTAAAATGACCATTACTATAATAGCTATTAATATCACTTGATGAGCACCTGAACGTTGCAGTTTGTTACCTTACACTAGAGCCCAAATAACAAATTTCCAGTGATGACTGAACAGCATTGTTAAAACCACTCATTTTCATAATTCTACTTTAACCTACTGATGTAAAAGTTCTATAGTGTTTTATTAACTGTTTTCTCTATAGCAAATGGCCTTTATATAATTGTTTTCATAATCAAAACTTAATTTTAAAATGATTAAACAAAGGAACTGAGTGTTATGGGGAACCCTGTGGGGGAAGCTTTATGAATGCCTGCAAGCTATTTCATCCACAGTCACTTCCACAGAGCTTGGAAGCTACTTAACTTGCACAGTGCATTATGAACAATTTAAAAAATTCATGTATTTACATGTAGATGCATATTTACTGCACACAGAAGACCAGTTACGTGTATGAGTAGAAAAATACATATTCATAGGTACCAGCTGGAATTTACAATAGCCACATCTGTAAAATACAACTTCTTCATAAAAGCAAAAATATCAGCAAAGAAGTTCCTTTTAACATCAAAATGGAAAAGCCTCTGACTTTAAGGAACATTTATCATTGTTAAGCAACAAAAAGGAGACTGAAGAAAAAAACCCACCACAAAATAAAACTGCATTTACATGCAGATTCATCAGTTGTGCTTATTCTATAGAGTCCCCAATTTTGCTCTCCTTGACTTCAAATAGCAGGACTAGGCCTATATCCCTAATTCTATTTGCCTGGAAAGAGAAAGAGGGAAAGGAATAAATAGAATTTTATTTTTGAATGCATATAGAGATTAAACAATAACCCAGAAATATTCATATAACACCTGCATGAACTACAATTGCAATGCAGCTTAGCATACAAGGTGGTTTTGAGTTTAGGGCTGCTATTGTCAGTGGGAACCTATCATCTCAAATCTCTGTGCATCCTGCTCTTGAGCTCATCACAGTCTCTCTCATACTGTGGAGCAACATGAAAAACCAGCATGTGAGGGATTCCTCATTTTAAAAAACAAAACCAGGAATGTCAAACTTGCTAGAAGCCTAGCACCCACCCTCTTCTTGTCATAGCCAGATGGACGTTACAAGGCAAAACCAATCCTCAGTGAGTGGAAGCATACTAAGGCCAGATCTCATCCTGTTTACCACCAGCACTAGAGAGGAACACAGACTGAAACAGCCCTAGGAAGTCTGAAAAGACAAAAATAAATCTTGTGGGCATAGCAGTCCTCCCCACTTATAGAAGGTGGCACCAGCTCCAAAACACAGGCATGGCTACTGAAATAAATAGCTCACAGCATTGCTGCTAACCCTGTGCCGTGTTGCTCTACAGTGTTGGTGACTTATTTTCTTCACTTGGGGGTGGGAGCAAGGCACAGAGTCAAGATTACTGGGAGACCTGAGTGCTACGGGGTTTCCCTCCAGTCTTCAAACACGCTTATGGCATTTGAGATGAAAAGCACATCTGGTTATATCACAAGTTACCTTTCTCCTTTCTTTTCTATTCATACCTCAAACCTGGTTCCTTCAAAGCTTCACTACAGCAAACTAGGGCAATGTCCAGAAAGTGTTACCAACTCCTTGAGGAATGTAATATGATTGCTTCAGCAAAATATGATCTGGCACTGGAGTGACCTGCCCCCATTACCCTTGATTCATTCTCAGTATAACCCGCCCAGATTTGGGCAAGGTGAAATTATGGGGAAGTTGTTTTCCTCCCTTTCCCAGCTCCTTCCTCGTGAATTGAAACGTATCCACTGTTTCTGTATGGAACAGGAAGTTAATTTAGCCTCAACATTTTAAGCTCAGTGAAGCAGTATCAAGATTTCTGCAGTCTGTCTACTCATTCGAATTCCACCAGAGAGGTGCTAATCAAGGCCAGTCAAGGCAAGAGTGGCAGATTTCTCGCCCCCTACACCCCATTTAGAAAAAAAAAAAGAGATGATGAAAAGAAAACAAAACCATTGCAGTAAAGCAGAGTAGGGACTTCCCACATGGTCTTGCTAATGTCCCTTAATCCTGTTCTCAAAATGTTTCTGATAGTAGTCAAATGCCTCTTGATCAAACACAGCCAGTTGTGCCAAACCCGATAGCTGACTGGTAACACAGACAAATGCTTGTCAGAGTCTAGAAGGCAGTAAAGTCATTTGCACGTGAGCCAAACTATAATTAAAGCCATGATTTTGACTCCAAAAGGTCACTATCTCATAAACCTTTGTTAGCACAAAGGTTTAAAACATCAAATTACAAGGCATTCACTATTTCAAATGCTAAACTAGATTTTTTTTTTCCCCCATTAAACTCTACGCAGGGAGTTTTTCCTTCCTTTCCAACAAAAAGGAAGTGTTATCAGTAGCATACATACAGCTGCAGTTTTTACTGTACCTGAGTAACTGTTCTCTACTATATGGGAAAGGACTGGGGAGAGGCAGGGCTGTTAACTACCATGACTACACACAGTCGTGCACCCTGAACCTGTTTTCAATGTCAAATGAAATGATACAGCCTGAAAACCAAACCCTCCCCTGATGCAAGCATGACTGTTCAGGTTCAGAGGAACACCGCACTATGCAAAATACAGCCACTGTTCACTCAAACAGAAGAAGTGAGGGTTGAAAAGTTTCCTAGAAGTGGATGTAGACATTGCACGCTCAGGTGGACTGGGATCTGCCCTATTTCCTTTCTTCCTTCCTGATGTTCACTGACTCCCAATTTAATTTTCTAAAACAAAGGCAGGCAGTGGGAGCTCTGGCAGCATATATATTTGTGTTTTCACTGCTTTGCAGATACAACAATTTGACAATTTCATTTGCCATGTGCTGAGCTACCTCATACTCAATACAAAAATCATTTGAAGGTCAGAACAGAAAATGCCTTTTTTAAAAAAAAAAAACCAAAAACAAACTTTGAATAACTAACTGAGCTTTCACACTTTAAAGGAGAATGTGAAATTAGCATAAGCTAATTGTTTTACATTTACACATCCACAGTTTAAAGTGGATAGTGCACAGAAGGCTTTGAGGTTGTCTATCTTCTTATGACTGATAATTAACAACAACAACAAAAAAGGAGTTTAAGGAAACATCAACTAGATTTTTTAAAAGCAACACCACCTAAAACAAACATCTACGCAGAGGAAATATATATCCTGAATGTTAAATATAATGATGAGAAATAAAAATTAAATCCTCTAAACCACTATCTGAAGCCAAACTATTGAAAAAATATAACAATAGGTTGTCTCATTTTCAAAAGCTGCATCCCACAAACACCAGTTGTGTCTTATTTCTACGTATCATTTTATTTAAGCTTTAGCATGTCCTATATTTAATAACATTTATAGCTAAATTCACTACTGAATCAAGATCTGATTCCAGAAAAAAAAAGTGATGTAACCAAAATGCACCTGGGTATAATTAGACTTCCCCCCTCCTCCTGTGCAATCAATATGACGACCATATGACAACTTTCAAGAAAGCAAGACAGATGTGACTGAAGGAGGCCTTTTGAGAAAAGTATCAACTACTTTAACTTCTACCTCGAGAGATTAAATTGTCAACCTACATAAGAAATTAAAACATGGAGGATTAAAATCACAATTTTTCAGCTTTATTAAAGACTGGGAAAGATATTAGCAGAGAAGCAGTTAAAATTACATGTAAATGAGCACTGACTGTGTTCAGCTATAAGAGATATTAGCCACCTGCTATTTCAAACTGAATCTTTATATTAGAAATTGGTATTAAAGACTGAATTTTAACACCTTTCCCCCACCTCCCCCTTACCCCAGCCCCTGGTGAAAACCAGATCATCTGCAGAGAAAGCAACAATTTTGTATTACCAAAGGGGGAGCACCCAGAAGAAGACTACAGCCGTAACAAAGCTACTCACTCTCCTTTCACAGGGTGGCCTCTGCGTTGTCTGGCAAACGCAGACAAGCCCCACGATGCACCACAGAGCTGTGCTCCTCAGCGCCAAGGGCAAGCTTGAGCCAGTCTATCCATGATTTGGATTTTTAAGTGGAAGAACACGAAAGGTTGCTACTAGAGATTGACAGCAAAAAACAGACATGCCTTCAGAAACTAGATCACAACTATTATCTCCCCCAATCTGTCTGAGCTGGTCTCCTCTGAAGGAACTCATGCTGGATAGAGTTTTGCATATTCATAAAACCAAATACAGTTGTTTTTTGAAAAGTTGTTGAAGCAGGAGTATTAAAAAGCGGAACCCCACATACACATACTCCAAGCAGGCAAGTTGGCCATGTGCACCAGACAGAACTTGCACAGACCTGCCTGCAGGACCAAGGTCTCTGCTAGGTCAACATCTTTTAGACACTTTTAGGAAGTATGTTAAGGCAATCTCTCGCCTTGGTTTGCAGTTGTAAAATACACAGATCCAAACTCCAGTAATGTGTACTTCAAGAATCTCTGAAGAACAAAATAAAGTACAAATCCTGAAGAAGGCAGAAGAAAGAACACCCCAGATTTAGGCAGTTTAGCATTATAGATAACCATCTTCAAGGGAATATCTATGGAAACCTTAGCCAACTGCTAAT